ATTTCGTAGCGTCGAATTTTATTTTTTTAAACCGAATGCTTCACGCGACACTTTATTTCTTATTGTAATCGCAGCGAGAACCAGCGCGTTGGACAAGCCTTCGTACGAATATTGCGAAAGGCACTTACGCCGAGGGTACTCAGGCGGAGATCATTCAAGACCTCGGCATTTGTTAAAATTCAAAGCGAAAAGGAAAGAATATCTCGCAGCAATCAGTCAATTAATCTCATGCATATCCGCATTTCTTCGTGCAATGACGAAATCAATTTCAAAATTCGCAGTGGCGCGCGCGACCCCAATGACCGTCATGCACGCGGTGTACAAATGCCGGTGAAAAATGGAATTCTCATGGTAATGCGCGCACGAGCAGCAAGTAGCATTGAGTAATCGGCCTCCTTGCGCTTCCGCTCTTGGTCGTCGTCTCGTGCGAGCATTCACTCTGTCACCTGCGGCGCGCGCGCGCGCGCCTATAAATAGCTACGCCGCCGCGACGCGTCGTTCTCGTTTCTGCGCGACTACGCCGTCCCTAATGCTTGTTGCGGCTTTTGGCCTGTTTTCCCGAAAAACCTTACTCGATACATTGCACACGAGAGATCATAATCGGCAAGCAACCGATAGTCTTTACAGTTTCAATGTCGGAGAATGAGAATGAGCTTTTCCTTCTAATTCCCAACTGTCTGCCGCATTCCTGAGACTCGTCAGCATTGTATGGCTGACCCTTTGAGAAATGGTGCTACAAATAGCTAAAGTACTTCATATCATCGTGAAACTTCAACTTGCGTGGTATAGAACTTGGGGAACATTGAAAACATTTATTTCTTTATAGGACTGAGACTCGATGGAGTTTTTTCTACGTGTTCCCCATAGTTATAACCGAATTTACTGGGACTACATGATTAGCTAACTTTGAAATAATAAGTTGTCTTTCGAAAATTTAGAAAAATAATTTTTTTTATGTATATTGGATCCACTATTTTCATTTTAACAATTATTTTTTCGTTAAGTAAGAAGAATTTACTGAAACACTTTTTACGTTCTTTAAACAGAAGTACTTTTTCCTATTCAAGATACACGGTATTAGCATATTGTATATCTTTTCATCTGCAAAACTTGGAATAATTGCAAGATAAATTGAAAGAGTAAATTAAACCAATTTTCACCAAACAGTTTCTGCAAGTGCCTCATAAAATTGTAGTGTGAGGTTAGCTGGCCCGTAGATAATTTGAATTAAGATGTCGCTTCAGGGGGGGGGGGAGTTGAAGCCAAGTGTGTTAAAGGTATAGGACTTGCAAGATATCCTCAAACGATGCTCCTCCGGCAGACTAGCCGCTCAATTCGATGCTTAACTTGCTAGCGCCGAGACGCTCGTCAGAGGGATAGAGATATCGATTTTCATGATAAGCCTTTGACTTGATACTGCCATCGGAGTGCTAATGAAGTATCCTATGTACGATAGATCATCTCTCTGATTTTTCTTTTTTCCGTTGTAAAATTTATATTTAAATCGCGTTTAAAATTATGCTTTTTGTTTGCTCTCTTCGTTAATTCCTCCTTTAATCAACGTTGTATATTCGATTTCAAAAATCGATTTTCAATCAGTTAAACTTTTATTTTTCACATCTATTCATGCTAGCTCGATAAACCTTTAATGAATATTTAACTATTAGTCCATATCCGACTGCTAAAGTTTATTTTCAGGCTGAAATCGTAAAAACGTGCGAGCTGAATATTTTTGTCCGATCGATTTCTACGCAGCAATTTATTGGACGCGCAGTATCGGACGAAAATTCCAGCACAACGAAAATCATAAAGCACGGCTAGTGACCGAGAGAGAGGGAGAGAGGGAGCAAACACAAATACGCAGCCGGCAGCAAATGGAACAGTCGAAACGTACAGTCAATTGTTATTCGATCGAAAAGTAAATTTCTTGGGCGTCGAACTCGTTTTTAGCTCGCCTATGCGTGGCGCAATTTCGCGAAAGAAAAAAAAAAGGAGTAAGAAGAAGAAGACGCCCTGATGACCCAGTAATAATGTTCGCGATCGAAGCCGAGCGCGGCAGTTTATTCACGTTAGCAATTTGGCCGCTCGGAATGCCAAATGAGAAAACAAACTTCGTGGAAAAAGGGCGGCGTTATCTTTAGAACAGCGCGACGTGTAATCGAAGAGATAGAGAACAGATTCGATTCTATTCTAATGTCGTTAGGCGAGAGAGCGGCGGGAGGAGGCGTATAGCGGTGTGGTGGCGAACGGAGGCGAAAGAGAGAGAATAGAATGATTGCGACTACGATTGCGCGCATCGTGCGGGATTCAATTCTGGGCCGGCGCACGATCATTGAGTCCCGCCAGGGCATGAATTACATATTGTCGTGATGCGGCTTTTTAATGACGTTTCCTCGATTTACGGCCGCTTTAATGGGCGACACTTCAACGGGATCCATTGATCGAACCTCTGTTTCTTTTTTTTTTTTTTCACAACTTTTCGATTTTTCGCTTTCTTTCTTTGCGGAACAATTAACTGTCCGCGCGTGCGAATGAACGAGTTGCGAAAGTCAGGCATCCGCGTGCAATTAGTGAAGAAAAGTCGCTCGTCCGCCACATTCTCAAAGTATAAGCTCATTCGAAAGGAATGCCGCTCGAGAAAGAAAAAATCCGCAAAGCGCACCTTGCCTCCGCACCCTCTGTGCCAATGGTAGCAATTCAGTTTTACTTTCTTTTAACTAATGAAAAATATAAAAAAAAAAGAAAAAAAGAAAAGTTGCTAACAAAGCGTGCGCAATAAGAAGAGAAATCGCAGTATTCGTAAACGAGAGAATTCTTGATTAAAAAGCTCGTGAGGTAAGTTTTGAACGTTTGGCGCAACGAGTTTCAACTTGACTGAGTGAGGAAAAAAAAGAAGTAAGAAGAGCGACGACGAGGAGGAGGAAGTTTCGAGTCTCCGACGAAGAGAGTTTTGTGTGATTGAGTAGACGGGTATGGAGAACGGTGAGAGTAGAATTAAGGGGTCAAAGTTGTAAGTGAAAACAACGGAGTAGTGGATGAGGGTTGGTACGATTTTTTTGCGGTGTTGGATGAACGATTGATGTTTTCAGGTGACATCGTCGTTGCTACGTTTTTTTCTTTAAAACCTTTTAACTTTATGGAATGGAATTATTGTTTCGTATAGTTTATATTTTCAATAATTAATGAATAGCGGGGTTGGGTTGGGTTTTGAACGCAAATTGACATTCGATAGCAACAGTATTTTCGAAGATAGAAGATAAACAACTAGACATTTTGAAATTTCACATGTATTAGCAAGGATTTAATTCAATCGCAACTATAATAAATTCGAGCTTGTAATTGCAAAATATTTTTCTTCGGAAATTGCAGTAAAGTTTATTTCCAATAAATTCAATTTATAACAACCATTAGCAGAAGAGACGTTCATAACAACCTCAATAATTGAAAAACATACGTGACTTCGTAACGTGAAAGCCTTCTAGCAGTTTTTTTCTCTCGTCCTCTTGTCGAAGAATGGATCCCTTGAAGAAAGGAGTCGAAGAACACGATTCTTCGCTCGGACATATGAAATTCAAACGAGAGAAACGTGTATTTCAAAAGATCGAAATCCTGTCCTCTGCTCTTGCTTGAGGAAAGTAAAACACCGTTAGAAAGAAGGAGCTGCAATATGCCAAGCGGTAGCCGAAGACTACAGTTTATGTGCTCATAATCTGACTCCAGGATGATTTGATCGGGTAAATCGACAAATGTACTTTTCAAACGAAAGATTTTGCAAATGAAATCTTTTTTGAAAGTGACTTTTTTAAGAACAACAACCTATGTCTAGTATTAAATATGTATCATTGAGCTTGCGAAACGAGACACCTGGCATTTAATAAAAGATGTTTGTTAAGTGCTGCACGACATGTTCAATTAATTGTTTGTTTTTTCTGCATCTGACAGATTTTCATCAGACATTCTATCATAATTATTCTCTCAGACACTATTTAAATAAACAAATTTTCGATTTTTTATCGACTTCAAGTTTAAAATATAATCGATTCGACTTTGGTTATTTCCTCAATTTTGATACGTACAAGTGTACATATCTCGACCAATTACTTCTAATAAGTTATGCATCTGTTCTTGAAACTCGCAACTACATATATTTATCTAGATACTAACTCCTGTAAAAGCCACACTATCTTGGAAAGTCGATTAAAGTCCTAGTGAGAGCCCGTATCTAAGGGGAGAAAATTACGTTGGAATCGAAATTGTATCAATCGATTTTCCCTTCCTCCAGATTTGTTTCAGCGCCTCGAGGTGCGAGAGAGAAAATGTTCTCTTCATTCGTCTCTCTTTTTCTAAAAAAAAATAAACGTAATCGAGCCTTCCACTCTCAATCAGTCAATAAAGTTTGCCTTATTAACCTCGTTTTCTTTTCTTCACATCTATCCATGTAAAAGAAACATTCGCAGAAGTGAAGTCATGCTGGTGAATAGAATGCAATCTTGTTTCAGTCGCTCCATCTCTCGATACTAATTTCGCTTCTGTATGAACAAAGTCAAAGCTGTGCCCATACGTACGCAAGGTGTATAACTGCGCAAAGGGATACTAAGAATTTTCACGCTTGTGGCAAGAGGTTGGACATGCGGTATATGGTTAAGCAAAGCCCGGCTTGTGCGGTTAGTGGATCACTTGAAGTTTATCAAAGCACACTAAATTTTGCATTACGTACATAAAGTGAGAGAATATGCCGTGCAGTAGCGTTTTATTTTTTTTTCTTTTAATAATTTCGCGTTAAATCTTCATTTATTTTGGTAACGGATTTCTCAATTTCTTTCTAATCAACCATCTTACAAATATAACTATCTGAACAAACTTACATCTAAATACTAGGTATAATCAACAAAATTAGAAACCAATGATTTATATATTCAGTACGATCCATACAGAATTAGTTAAAATTATAAAAAACTGATATCATAAAATGTAGGCAATGCAATAAACGACATATAATGTTTATTATCAGAATATTAGATCTATGACTCATGTGATATTCAGGAGACTTTATCAGTCAGATAATAAAAGTATCTCAATAACACGTTTATTTTCCAAAAGTAAAACATGGAAAGTAATTAATTATTCAAGCTCGATACATTAAAATTTCTTTTATTCTTGATGCTCTCGTTTCACAAGAGTTATTGATAAAATTAAAGGATAAACGCTTGGAGTTTAAGGATATGAATTACAAAGACTGGTGCTACAACGATTGCAAGTGTCAACTTGAAAACCATTTCCTTTACCATCACCAACTGCGAATATAATTTTATAGGTTTCACAAGTCACTGGTTTTATCGCACATCCCCTTTGAACAATAGTTCTGCCATCCTTAGTCGAAACTGAAGTGGAAAACGGTTAGATTTTAAATGATGTGTGCCTCAAAATTAAAAAAAAAAATAAGTAAAGTTAAGCTTACTTCCTCTTGCAGATGCACAATCGTACTCAACAACTGCTTTCGCTTTAGCGGCTTCTGAAAATGATGATATGATTATGAAATTATAGTAAAATTTGATAAAAATTATACCGATTATTTAAGTTCCAATTTGCTATTGTAATTCTTACCATGTTCGTAGAAGCTTGAAAACATTAAACTTTTCGTGTTGCTTACATACGACGAACATTCAATTATAAATTTATCTTGGTCAGCAGCCGAAATACATTCCGGTTGAGTATCAGAATTGCATGCGTAGCATCTTATTGCAGAAACTGTAAGTCGATTGAACTTTTATATTTTGAATTTATAAAGTTTGCTAAATTTATAAGAAATCTGGTCTATTTTTGCCATGAATTTTTTAGTTTAAATAGTTAAATTTAATAATTTTTTTTAACAAAAATTGCGTTCTACAACAATTTTAAATATTCAAAGTATAATAACTCAATAAGCTAAAAATCAACGTATTACTTTGAAAAAACCACATTTTACGTACAATTCAAATCTTTCAAATACCATATTATGAGTCATAAACGTCAAATTCTGGAAATAAACCTACTACTTGCAGTTGTTCTTTCAGTATATAAAAAAGACAGGCAAAACATATAAATAATACCTGGTTCAACTGGATATAAAGAAAGTAGTAAGCCTACGGCAAAGTAATGAATATTTCTCTTATATAAAGCCATTTTGACAATAGTAAGGTACTTTCATGACTACTGTATTACTCCAAGAAAATATCTTTTTATATCGATAATTTATCGTTCTTCTGATAATCTTCGTAGCGATTAATGTTGTGTTACATTTTTCTCTGTGTAATGAAAATAACTTTTCTATTCGTTCGACCAACGTATATCCAGGTAACTCTTTCAAATTCCATTTAGATTATTCAATGCAATGATTCGAGTATAGAGCAGACAAATTTATTAATTTGTATAAATTATAAATAAATAAAAAACTTCTTTTTTCAACTTTTTATTACGTTACTACTTGTAACAAAATATATTATGAAGAGAAATAATAAAAGTCCATAAATTAGTATGTGCAGGTTAATTATTAATGTAATTACAGGAGTCAGTGTTACAACGAAAGCACTTATCTCATTGGAGATCGTAATTTATTGCGTAAATTATTTGGTAGGTAGAACAGGCCACTGGTTTAATAGAACATTCCCTTACAACCCTAAAGTGGCCGTCCTCGATACAAACTATAATTATAATTTTAGAAATAATAAGATAACCATTAATATTAGGGTATATTAATGTTTATCATATTATTCCAAACTTTTAAGACTTGTTTATTAACTCACTTCCAATTATGGACGCGCAATTGTATTTAGCGACTGCTATTGCTCTAATGTCATTCGAAAACTTTAGAATAAAGAATAATTGCTTCTATTGTTTATATACCATATATTATATATTATATATCTCACTATGAGTGTTGCCGCTTGACAATATGGTGTTCGTGTTGATTGTATTCAATGAACAGGTAACGGTAAATTTTAGTGAGTGTCATGAAAAAGACATTTGCTATCAATATCCAAATTGGATCCAAGGATACTTGAATGAGAAAGATTTATTTTCGAATTATATACCTTTCAACATGTTTATGAGAAAAAAATGAATTTAGTAAATCGAGTAAAGTATTAAGGAAAAGATTATGCACTCAAATGATTAAATAATTCGAAATAATTGCCATTGCACCTTGCTCAAAACAGCAGAGAAAAAGTAGTAAAATTAATACAGCCAATCATTGTGTTTAGCTCTTTAATAAAAACATTTCAACAACAGGGCATTATTTTCACTTATACTATTATTTGAACAGAGCATTAATAGTATATACGTAATTTATTGCTCTTTTGATTAAGAGCGCTCACTAACGTTCCTTGTATATTGTATTATATAAAAAGAGATAATATCAATTAGTAATGTGAAATTTCTATACTAAAATATTACTGTAATCTCGAAGTTATGATCAAATTTAGAAAATCGCAATGTAATAATGTAATGTGATAAATAAAGGCTTATTAGAATTAGTTTATGAAATGTTAATATGAAGTAAGCAATGGATTGAAAGCATCTAATGCATAGCATCGAAATATCTATGATCTCATTGGGAAGATTCTAGTAATAACATAATGGAATCATCACAATCCTATCACCTTATAAATTAAATATTTCGCTTATTTAAATTTAATGTGTAATAGATAACTAATGAATGAACTATCATATACAATTCAATGAATTTTTATTTATGCTCCTGTTATTTTGATACAAAATTTTTTAACTTAGACTATTATGAGTAAAAATGAAAAAAAATCTATATTTGGCATTGAAAACTTAGAACGTATCAGTGTTACAGAAGTTATAGCTACATCGAAGGCACTTGTCAACTTGGAAATCGTAATTCACTGCGTAGATCGCTTTGTAAGTGTCGCAGGTGACCGGGCTGACGGAACATCCTCTTATAACCCTGAAGTGTCCATCTTTAGTAGAAACTAAAATAAAAAATAGAGGTATTTAGAACATGTGATTTCTTACATCAAAGACATAACTCTTGAAATAACTTACTTCCTACTGCAGTTGCGCAGTCGTATGAAATTGCTCTTACTGCAATTTTATCTAAAATTATTATTATTTCAGAAATTGGTAACATAAACTAATCGTTTATAAACCATCGCAAAGCGTTTTATATTTGCGATAGTTTATTACCGATTCAATACAAATAATCATAGACTCATACTGTCATCCATCTCACCTTCACCGTTAGATGCTGAAGAGTTAATATTTTTTGCATAAGGTACACATGTAACAGCAAACTGGCTGGGGTCATAAATACAATTCCTGTTTTCGTCAGAGTCACAAGCATAACATCCTATTGAAGATACTACAAATTAAAAGAGAGTTATTATTAATAAATTCAGTTTTATTAATCATATTTGAAAAATGTACTTTTTGTTCAAATATATACGTACAAAATGAAATCTTAACAATTAAAAAATTTAATAATTATAACATTTCGACAGAAAATAATGTAATTTCAATATATATGAAATACTATGTACGATTTCAAAATACTGATGAATCACTATTTTATAAGTTTTATCTCTTAATAAATAAAGTTAAACCTTGTTCATAAGCTTATAAAAGAAATGTGATGATATTAACAAATAGTTTTTACTATACCTTGTTTGAACAAGTATACAGAGAGTAGTAAAACTACAGAAAGATATTGAATATGACTTTTTCGTGAAAACATGTTGATTGTAGTAAAATACTTTTACTTGTGATTTAAATGAGTTAATAAGTTGTATTTATATAGGGCACTTATCACTCTTTTGATTAAGTGTGCGCATTCATGATACGTTTGCATTATATCTGAAGAGATAACGTCCATTGAGATTAGTAATTCTACTTCGGTGTAATGACGATGTATACCTGAATACTGAAATCATAGTTAAATAAAGACATTCGTAATAGTGGAAAATCTTGTTTTTTATATTTAATTGAATATATACACAATATCTATTAATCTATTTTTCATGGGTTCAAAAGAAAATCGATATATATCATGTGCTTCTAATAAAATATCTATATTCTTCGACTGAAACAGTAAGCGGAAATTCTAGATAATATATAATACAAGAAATTTCATTATTTAACATAAACAATGTATTCAACAAAATATGACTAATATTTGAGAAAGGTGGACATGACAAGATACGAATCCAATTTTTTTATTTTATGACACAGAATTGAGTTCACTTTAACGAAACAGTATTGACAGGACTTGTAGTTTCTGTCCACTATGAATAACTTTTGATAAAATATAATTTATAATGTAAATATTTTAAATTGGTGAAAAATTATGATTCATTTACGAAAACATCAGTTCTTAATTGTTTTATTACATACAAACTATAATTACATAGTATTAAAAGCAATCCCAATTGTTTTTTTAAATAGAAAATCTGGATAACTAAAGACATTTTATTAAGATTGGCTTAAGCGTAAATATCAACTGAACATTTATTTACCCATGTATCTCGATGACTATAGTGTATTATAAATTAAACAACTTTTTGTATCTATGTTTAAAATTAAATTCTCAAAAAATTTTAATTTAAGTGTTACTTAAGAAAATCGAAACAAGAAACCAAAATCAACGAGTGTACGAAGTACCCTAAATATAAGTAGTAAGCATAATATGTAGCAAGTATGGAAATAAAATGCTAATGATATATATATTATTCAAATTATAAATTCATACGTATATAATATGAGAATATTTATTAATCATTAATGTTGACGCGTTCAGTGTGAATACAAACACCTATAGTCCAGTTTTTTAATGATCCGAAGAATTACACAAGTCTGAATTGCGACGCTTGCAAATCTCTACCTGAACACCGACATTTGCTGCATTTCTTATTTTAACAGTGTCACATGTCATATGTTTTGCATATGATTTCCGAATACAACCGCAGATTTGTTTCTAAAGAACAAGGAGTGGCTTAGGAGCGCGTGTGGAACTTAATGTTTCGCGTATAATAATATGTCTCGATGAGAGTTGTGGAATAAAAAAATGATTAAAAAATGTTTCCGCTTAAAACACTGGAATACTCAATCTCCAACACTCAATTGCAAGTCGAATAATGACCTTAATACAGTCACCCGCAATAATCAATATGGTCGCGTCCTAAGTTCTAGCTCTCTTTTTTTAATTGAATTTTTTAAAATCAATACTTAATTGTTACTTGTGGGAAATGACAGAAAAATAATTTGTATTTTCTAAACTTCAAATTCTTCTAGACCAAGTATATTTATACTAATTAACGTACTAGCGTTTCGTCACATCTCTTCTTATCGGTTTCGTTAGCATGTTTGTGACGAGCAGACGCCGCCATGTACGCAAAAAATCCTTTGACCCGTCCCTTCGGTGAAGGGAAAAATGTACTTACTTCTAATCTTCAGGTGCGCGTATTCTTATAATGAAAAATATTATTTATTTCTTTAACGGACTTAATGAGTCTCGCTATCCTTGCTAATTAGGCGAAGATTTTCTATAATTTTTCTTAGTTGGTTTCTGTTCATTTTCTCTAGAGTTCCTTCATTCCTTTTGTGCATTTCCGATTATACTCTTGCAGTTTTAGATCCGTTGTTTATTATTCAAAATATTTGTATGAACGCTTGGTTCAATTTTGTGATAAGTGTTAACAAAATAATTTAATTTTATAAAGTACCTGGTTCGATGTCTTACCTAACGTATTGGTAACTATAATTTGATTAATATAAATAAAAAAATACTATAACTATCAATAGGTAAAATATAATGCACAATAGAATTTTGGCTGATAATGCTGTGAGAAAAGATGAAACGTCAAAATGTGAGATGAAAATCTGCTTAAAATATGAAAAATAGGTATATGTTTTAGGACAAGTACAATTACCAATAATACAACAAATTTTTTTATTAAAATGAACGTCATTTAATGTGAAAACATCAAGAGTTTAAAATTTGATCAGGTATCTCATCAGTACTAACAGTAAAAGGATTGGTAATCCAGCCTTCAAATGACCGGAAGAATTACACAGATCGGCGTCGCAACGTGTGCAAGTGTCTATTTGCTGAGCATTCCCTTGTATAGCAAGCATTTTTGTGGTATCACATGTTATATACTTTGGTACACATCCTCTAATAACCACAACATGTCCATCTGACAAAGCAACTGAAATAATATAAATGATATTAATACTAATATACTGGTTTAGACATGAAAATTGATTTCTGACTCACCGCCTCTGAGGTAAGCACAGTCATATTCTATTGTAGTTTTATTCGTTTGATCTACAACAATAATATATTTACGTTGTCAATATGTCAATCGAAACGTATTGCATAGAAATATTATTGATCTTTAATATTATACAATGTTCAGATAAATGATTTACCAAGTGAATTGATATTTCCATAAAATAGGCTGTTTGACTGTTTATCTTTATTACATTCATATGTAGATGTCGTAGATAAATTACCAGTAATACAATCAGTGTTAATGTCAGAGATGCATGCGTAACATTTTCTGGATGATACTGAAAATCAATAAAAATTAACCAGTTATTTTTAGTTCCCATTAATGCATTTCTATTAACGCAAAACATTAAATGAAAATATAAAAGCAATTAAAAATAAGTTGAAATGGATTATTAAAAACACACAAATGTGTACAAATATAATGCAATAATCATGTGAATTAAAATGTAAGCTATAATATATAATAAAGTAAGAAAATGATGTAACTATTATTAGTTTATAAATACTTTGATATTAAATCCCGCATACAAGAGCTTAATATTCCTCTGCAGGCTGCAGTGCAAATTAGTTTTCAACTGTATTTATTGTAATTGTAATCTGGATTTAACTAAGTAAAAAGAAAAAATTTTGTTTAAAACTTGTGTTTTACCTTGTCTAATTGAACACAGGGAGAATAGAAAGAATACAGCGAAGTATTGAAAATATCTTTGTGAGCTGTACATGGTGATCACTCCAAAGTTTGTTCACGATTTGACAGGTTAGCCGATACTGAGGTATTACTTGAAAAGCTTACTCATATCTTCAGAAAATTATATCTCAAACAAGATAATCTTGATAGCGGGTGATGTCATGTATGGATTCGTCAACGAAATATAGCAATTTTTTTTTATCGAAGTTTAAGTACGTGTTTTCATTAGATAATGCGAAAAGAGAAATCGACTTTGCTATGAAAAACTGAATCACCTATAAACCAAGTCTCGACGTCAGATTTTTCATAGTTACATTGTGGTTACAATAAACGTGATGATAGAGTTGGCATTTCAATGCACAACAAATAGCTTTGTCCCGGGAAAAAGAATAACAATAAATATCATTTTGACATTTTGCAAAGTTTTTTTATTAAATGAAAATTTGATAAATTGCTTAAACATGAAGTTCCAGATCTCATTTATTTACAAATTAATAATTCCTGAAATTGCAAGCATCACTATTGCAACGAAGACATTTGTTAACCTGAAGATTGAATTTTGCTGCGTAGATTATTTGATAAGTAGCGCATGTCACTGACGGTATAGAACATCCTCTCACAGTTCTAGGACTGCCATCAATAGTCGAAACTGAAATTGAAATCATTTATATTTTATATGTATGTCTGATATCATTTAAAATATTTATTTTGTTTATTAACTTACTTCCAATAGCAGTGGCGCAATCTTGCACAACTGCTCTTGATCCGATCAGTTCTGAAAGCACACAATAATTATTATGTTGTAAAAAAATTAAAGTAACAAAGACAAACATTCAAAGTAGATTATTAATGAAAAGAATACTATTGTTTATGAAACCTTCAGTATTGGAGTCCGAAAGTTCGGAAGTTTTGGCGTTGGCTGTGTACGCTGTGCATACTACGGCAAACTTATCTTGGTTAGGACGAGAAATACAGTCGTAGTCTTTATCGGAGTCACAAGAATAACATATTCTCGCCGATGCTGTAAATTGAACAGGAATTAGTATTAATGAGAATAACAAATACAGGTGGAATAAAATTTTAGTGACCTTAGTAATAAAGAGAATGGATTAAAACAAGAATTGTATGTAATAATTTCCATCCGATTTTAATTCTGTTTGATTTTAAGAATGACATAGTTTTTGAACTATATATGTATATATAATCATACTGTTTAACAACTGATCGTTGCTTCGTGAAAATTAAAAAGCAAATGTTAATCTTATAAAAATAATGGAAGCAAAATATTAAGTATTGAGCAAAAATTTTTATTGTACCTTGTTCAAACAAGCACACCGAGATCAGTAAAACTGCAGCAAGGTATTGAATGTAGCTTTTTGAGGAAGACATCTTTACGGCAATATAGTACATTTACTTATCAATGAATAGAGTCAAATGGGTTCAATTTATACAAGTAATTTATCGCTGTCAAGTGTAATCTTCAATATACTGTGTGTGTTATGCTGTATCAGAAGTAATATCGATTTCGAGCAGTAATTGTGCTTCTTGGTAATACAACTATTTTATAAATGCAATACGTAGAGAAATGATTCGCGAATACGGTAGTTTCTATTTAAATGTTTTCCACACTGAACAAATCATTTTTATGTAATCATCAATCTACTAGTTATAATATTTATCCTATGAAAATTCTGAAAACATAATAGATAAGTTTGCCTATGTAGAAAGTGTAAATACATTTCATAATTATATGTTCCGCGTATATTTAATATTTATGATCAAACGTAATGGATACTTTTAAAGACCTGACGAAACCTCTATCGTCCGCTTAACGTTGTTTTTCAATTAGACAGAAACAAAGATGGTATCGGCAATTAAGTGAGTCAAGAAGCGTGTCACTTAATTCCAGCAGTTATCGAATATAATCCGTATTAGTACGAATCGTTCATAATAATTGCCTCGTCCATAACTGTATTGAATAAAGTTCAATCATTAGCTAAATATAGCTGTTGTCATCGATAACGCAAGCGCGTGAACATCATTACCGTATTCTTTTTCCTTACTACAGCAAAAGTTAATGTTCTGGATCTGCGAGTAGAATCTCTAAACGAACAAGTAAATACGAAGGGCCACGTGATTTTCGGTCGTGGTTAGAAAAAATGATGTTCAAAGTGGATGCCTCGGTCTAAATTCGGATATACGTAGCGCAATTAAAAACTCATCATAATTTTTCAAAGCAACGCAGGCCAATTCATCAGACTTCGTCGAATACCACGCGAAGCTCATTACCAAGCCAGTCGGTATTAATAATTTAAACAAGCGAGGCTTTGCCAAAGTAAGAAAAAAAGTAGAGAAAAAGAAGAAGGAAAAAGGCTGCAGAGACAGTGACTCAATTAAGTCGGCGTAAGCGGCAACTCTTTGAGCTTGCACCCTCTTTTAATTTGCGGCTCCCTTTTCGCGCATCTCGCCTTAATTGTGTCACTGTATGGCAGAAGGCCTCCTATCCACCTACTGCAGTCATTAAGTGAATTATACGCTTGTGCGTGCTTGACACCCTTGGTTGTAACTAAGGGGAGCGTTAACCTGCATGTATCTAGCGCGCATTTTGAAGTTCAACGTTTCTTCGCAATGGTAACGGAGCCGGAAGTTGATGCTTAGATTTTTTCGTCAATGGCACTCTTGCGAGTAAAACAATTTTCACTGTGTATTCATATTTGCCTGCCGCAAGTAAGCCAACTTTGAATATTTTAGTATTATGAGAATACTGCAAGATATCAGTGACTAATAATAAATCGTCTCTACAGAAAATAGAAGTAGTCCGATCTTGTTGTTTTAATGTGAATAATTTAAAACGGGATATACTCCGATGTAACTAAATTTGATTACCTTAGAATGTTAGAACTTGTCGAGATGGATTACGATTATTTTTGCCGAATATAGTCGCTGGTTAAGGCTGAATTGAATTTTAACTCTGCATGTATTCACGAGAAATAAGGTTCTTGTACACCAAAATAAATTCGCACTCACAGACATTAGCTTAGAATCGAACAAGTGAAAATTTTCAATTATGTAGTCTCTCGTATATTACCAAGTACAGACTAACTCGCAATCAGAGAGGCGTGTACAAACACACGCAACGAATCCACTCGGGCCATCCAATCGAAAACGACCTAAATATCCTCTTTGATAGAATAATTTTTCTTATGCTTTTTCTTCATTTCAAAATTTCCTTATAGAAGGTGACAAATTGAGTATGAATCAGAATTGGGTTATTGAAATCCTGGTGTCGTAATTTCTTCTTATAATTTTAAAGACACTGCGAGATTGATGGACCGACCTATATTACAATTTAGAATGCAAAAAATCAATCATCACTCTCGTAGGTTGACATGAAAATAACGCCGTCTATCATGACGTTGTCAAAGCTATCTCTCGCCCTCGCTTCCGCGGCTGGCAAGTCGCTCGCGGTTATATCATTTCCTGGCGTTGACGTGTCGCTGAAAGCCACTCACCGTTAACTCTTTCACCACTACAAATTCCTCGTCAATTAAACCACGCAAAGGCCATTTTTACTAATGAGAAAATTGACGTTGTAAAAGAATGTGTTGATTCCTATATTAGTCCAGTCGTTCTGGCAAGACAAAATAATTAAATATCTATTTTGTGTGAATAGTATCAATATTTATATTGTGATGTACTATAGACTCGAATAGGAACGTCATATAAACTATATTGTAAAAAAACCAAATATATTATTTTCATAATACCGAAACTTGCAAAATTTGTGAACATAAAGATTCTAATAACAATATAATATACGCTGTTTTACATCATTGCCATGTAATATATGGTACTATTGCTTGCGTAATATTTGTAAATTGAACTGTATCCAAGAAATTCAAAACAGATTAATAAAATTTTTACTTAAAAAATCAGAGTTTATATCGGCCACTATATATATGGAGAACTATAACAATCAGAAGAATAACCAGACACAAAATCATGATGCTACGAGTAAACAAACCTATTCCTTTAAGAAGTCTCAGATATAGCGCTTCTAAAATAATTCAAAAATTCAGCAGCGTTATGAAAAATTTAAACACGAACAATAACAAAGTAATAATAATAAAAGGCGTTGAGGGTGGGGTGAACAAGAATAATTAATTTAGGTTTGGAAATGCATTTTCTTATTATTTAATTTTTTGTTAAAGTTGGGCTCTTAAGAGTGCAACTTCCTTTATTTGTATGTATAAAAAATGGTGAATTATCATGCGATTTCGTCAAACTACGGTAAACTTGTATAAAGTGTAAGCGCCTTATTTTACAACAAACCTCGAGGTCACAGTGTCGTAATTTTATTTTTCCGCCTCGAGCTTTTCCGCCTTTCTTTGGCTGTGGGCGTGGTCGGAGGGGCCCGACGAGCGAATCGGGGCGCAAGCGCACTCTTTCGTGTGGCCTCGCTTGTGGGTTGCCGAATAGCCTGGGATTTGCCCTCGTGCAATATCCGAGCTGGTGAGCCTGGTTCGTGAGATGCTTTGGTGATGGTAGCCTCGGAGGAGATCGGAGAGGAGACGGGTTAGACATTCGAGTATCCGCGTTTCTTCCATTACCTTTCAACTCGATCGCACGCTTACATTTTCTTTCTTACGAACTATTCCTCGTTCACGATAACGAGACTTCTTTCTAAGAATACATATGGGAATTTTCTTAACGAGTGAAACGTGCTGGTGTCCTATTTTCTATTACAGGCATGCGCCGAAAACAGAAAAATTCACGAGAAAGCCAAAGCGAACAAGTACTAGTGACCATAAAACATGGTTTATGACGGTCGGTTTTGAAGCTGATCGGCACCAGTAGGATTAGTGCTGCGCGTTCTCGGCTGACAAAGGACGTAATAACAAAAGAGGGTTTTCCCGCTTGCGCTACTACTTGCGTCAGCGCTACATCTGTACATTCGGCACACGATTCGTAAACTCGGTTCGTTACTAACAGGATTTGATGGGCTAATCCAAAGATCTTTAATTTAAAGGCGATCTTTCTATTACCATTAGTAGCCGAGAAGTTTTAGTTGTTAATGCTAATGCATCTTGTTTTGCATTTTTTAAAAAAGGATTTACAGGATTCTATTTGATAGACAATTATTTATACGCTAAATTGTTTTCAAGTTCGATGCATGTTAAATTCAATTTGTAGAGTTAGTGATCAATTCGCATTTACCGAGCTCTGTTATTTGCAAAATTATTTTGCTCACCTATCAAACATTACAGACACCATTTTTATTTAAAGTAATTTTTTTTATCTAATGTTCAATGCCGTTAACAGAATCTGTGTAATATAAATATAGTTTTTGATATGTAACATTTATAAAATATATAAATATATTTTATATATCTATAAATATATAATCTTTGAACAATAAAGCTACTACTATGGATGTGTACTAGTGATGTCTAGTGCGCTTATCTGCTTCGTTTTCTTTACATATTCATTTTAATGCTCAATATACATTAAATGTTTCCATGATTTAATATGAGATATAACCGATGTTATTATTTGTTGGTAAATAAATATTCATTTACGTTAATACTTGATCATGATTAAAAATTGTTACCAATGAAGTTTTAAATTTTTACTTTTAGAAGTTCTGTGTTGAATAATTATCAAAAAGATTCAAAAACACGATAAAACTTGTATTATAAGTTCGATAAACATTATAGTTTTCTATAACCAATCCTTCACGATGTAAATAACATACTTCGGTAGACGTTCACGGTTGTAATTAATGCATTTTCAAAAAAAAATTTCCAATATTTTACGTAACTGAATAAAGTCGAAATCACTGTACAATATTTTATCGTGATAATCTTCGATTTACATCTTTTATTGTTTACTTCATTTATTCAAAGCTCAACTTTTACATCGGGCAAAGTTCAATTAATTTCTATATCGGTTTTCATATTGAGGTTACTATAATTAAATTAATCTATGTTAAATTTATGTCCACTGTACTAATACATTTTTCGAATCTACGAAATTCCGTAGTAACCTTTTATAGGCGATACTATATATGTATGTAGGTGTCTGCGTGTGTATATGTATGTATATATATACTTCACATGATAGCTGATCACGTGACTACCCTTCGGCCAATCAAATCACAAATCAATTGCTTTCACTTTCCAGGCCATCACTTTTTTAAGAAAGTAGATAGAAAAGGATGGACTTTTTATTAGTAAAATTTCAATTTGAAACCACACGTACATGTTTATTTATTAGGATCTAGTAAGTATATCAGGTGACTATATCTCAGCCAATCATATCAAGAATAAAATGTTTCAAGATGGCATCCGTTACTTTATTATTAGGAGAAAAATATGACACACAATAGAAACATTTCTGGCTGATAAGACGTTTATCTATACGTTCATGGAGATATCAGTTCTCGATAACGCTGTGAGAAAAATAACCTCTAAAATTGCAATAAAAATTTAATTAAAATATGAAAAATTAGAACGTGTTAGTACAAATATAATTATGGATAGTGTATCAAAAGGTTTTTTTATTAAAATGAATATACTTTAAAAATCATCAAAACTAAAAATATCAAGCGTTTAAAATTCCATTAGATACCCCAACAGTAATGGTAATGAAAAGATCGAAAATCCTGCATTCAAATTACCGAAAGAATTACAAATATTTGTTTGAACATTATTTTGTTTTTTTGTACGACAATAAACTCTAACGATGTCATATCCTATATATTTTTGTGAATATACTAGTAACCACAGCATGTCCATTCGACAAAATAACTGAAATAATATCAATAGTATTAGGTAATTAGTATGAATATACTGTTTTAGATCTAAAAATTGATATCTAGATGCTGATTGAATAGGTTAATATCAGTAAATTGAAGCTAATCGGGATTTGTGATTTTTTTGCGCTCTCACGGGTCCAACTCAAAATAATCGTAATCAGATAAACAATTAACCAATGGTAACGTAGACAACGGGAAAGCAGGCTATAGGAGGGATGGCAATGCGGATCTATTCTTATCTACCGCCTAGCCTTTGGGGTCAATAGTGTGAGTTCGCGTAAGAAAATCAAGCACAAAATAATTGCTTTTTGACTGTATATTGTTACATCCTGTCTTTCTTTTCCTGTGAAAACAGGGGACTCTCCTCCGACTTCTTTTTAATCTTGTCGATCGTTTGGTGACATCTCAGCGTCTGGTGTCTGCTCTAGCTTAGCACGTAACATATATGTAGAAGCTTATCGGCGTTTTAGGTTCACGTACAAGGTAAGCACAAACCCTATCTAATCATAATCTGCATTGCAGGTGATGACATACTCGGATAACCGTTGAAATACTATTTTTTATAAAAATGTTTACCACTCGCATGACGTAAGAAATGATGTTTGTCTTTAAAATAAATTACCTGGAAACGTTTAAGTAAGTCGAGTTGAACCAAATAAAATATGTTTTTGTCAGTCCATTTTTAAGTCGTCCCGGTATATATAGCTAATTCGTAATTCTATAAAAAGTGAGTTTGCACTGAATTCTGAATGCTTAGGTACCTTTTTTTAAAGATATCTTGTGCGGCTAGGTTACAATTTGATCTACATGCCTAAAAAAACTCTCGGTGTTTAATCGGTCAAATTATTAACTCGACTCAAAGTCTGTATTCGTAGTTGATAAAGTGAATGTTTTGTAATATTATTATACATTTTGCAAATGTAAAAGGGTACAAAGTCATAAAACCTACAAAATCACGATATAGAACAAGATTGGTATACATATCGTTAAATTAGTTCTCGATATAACTGGCCAACTCTAGTAGATCTGGATATGCCCCTTATAAAGTAATAATTATAATACAATATTGCATAGCTAAGACGTGGTCTGCTGTATATCCGTGTCATAAAGAATATCTTATGCAGGCAAAGTTTAATCGACTAAAATGCATAATCGGTTAACTCACAGTGTGTAAATAAATCGCACGTACTCTTGAACTTTAAACTGGAATATTTAGAATCCCGAAAGACCGGTTCGACTGGGACGCCGGGAAAATTACTTATTAATGCATACAAAAGGTTAATGCTATTTTCAGTCTATTTTTCACAAACAAATCATCCATTTCCTAGAATAACAATGATCACTTAGATGATTGGTTGTAGAACTAATCTAGCCTGATTTACATTCATTCATACAATAGATAGTTCGTTTAAATATATACAACTTTCATGATACGTATTTTATTGCGATGCATTTGATAAGTGATGATGATTTATTTATTCTTAACTAGTCTAACTCTTTAGATTGAAAAACATATGTACCCATCTCAATTTCAAGTAGAAAAATTACAAAAAATACATTGATACAAAATAATATAGTACGTGCATGCACGCTATTTCATAAAACTCGTCATAAAATATCTTAAATGTCAAATTGATCCAATTTATAATTTAAAAATATATAGTGCTATTAAAGATAAAGAAAGGCTCCAGATTCCAGTACTCAAATGTCCAGACGAATTACAGAAATCAGATTCACAGCGCGTGCACTCTTTAAGCTCGATATTGTGATCCGCTTTGTAAATCCTTGAGTAAGTTTCACACGTCGTTGATTTGACAGCGCATCCTCTTCTTACTCGAATTTCACTATCTATAGTTGAAACTAAAGTTGAAGAGAATAAAGATATCACATTAAATATCTCTTCATTCGCTATTTTTCCAATATTTATTTTCTTACCTCCTCGCGCATAGCCGCAATTATATTCCACTCCTGCTGCTTGATTATCTACGTCACAAACATTACATTACTTTAATCAGTTATCAAATGTGAAGATCATGCGATCTAACAAAGCAGACTATTTTTTATGCAATTATGAGCCATAGACTGATGTAGTTTCACTTATATTTTATCCCTACCTTGCTTTTCCGAAGTTGGTAGAAAGGAATGGTGCGAACAATCAACGATAAACTTAGTTTGTTTAGGATTGTCAGTACAATCCTTATCGATATGGGAATCGCAGTCGTAGCATTTTACTGCTGATACTGAAAATCAATAGCAAACTTGTTAACTGCACCTTGTTAGTTGTGAAATAATGGCACTTTAACTAATTATTGAAGATAAAATGTTAACTTCACCGAACCTTGATTAATTGATGATAAAGTAAGTATCACAACTAAGGTAAAGAAATGGAAGTATCCATGACACATGATGACGGCTGAAAGGCTTTTTTACTACTGCCAGGTTTGTAGCGAGCCAAAGTCGTCATATAGAGATCTTATATGTATGTGTGTTCTGTTCAACACACGGCGCTAAGTGTATGTGTTTATCTTATTTGCGAGATTATTTTTTTCTCGTCCCACGTGAAACTCCAGCTGCTTACACAACGCGCACTTTTAAATTTTCTTTCTGAAACGTTTCATGCTAATGACGAACATCCAATTTGCTTTTTCACTAAAAAAAGGCACGTTGTCACCAAATCAAATAGAATTTAAGCGTTAACCAATACCACACGCGACTCTTTGCCAGACGTCTTGGAATGTACATGAGTCAGTCACAATTCATGTTTGCGGTTGTCAGAAAAAGAATGACGCATAGCATGTATGTCATATTAATCATCGGGCCACAATTACGCAATCTTCGATCGCACTTGTTCGCACATATATAGGTGCGAATGACAGCAGCACTCGAAGTTTTACGCGTGTAAAGAGCGCGTGCGCGCGCGCTTGAGAGAGATACGCGCTCATATAGGACTGGTACGCCTGGACAGATAGTATTGACAATCTGATGGCGCGGAGTTCAATGGGGAGTGATTGCGATCCATTGGAAATGTTGATATACAGATGTCTACGTTTGTGAAAGGGATCCTTTTGTACAATTGCAATTTTGATGAAATCCAGGTATATCAGCTTGCCGGAATGCCGAGAGTTCTACGGGAACGATTTTTTTTTATTTCACGAACGATTCTTCCTTCGTCAGTTGCCGATACTTCGACCCTCTAGCGCGCACGTAACATCAAAAAGAATCAATCCGGTTTGGTTAAACACACGAAGGCGGAAATCGCCCGCGGGATACGGTCCGTTAATGGAATCGAAAAAGACGAGGGAGGGTTACATGTATGTATGCGCTCGCGCGCGACGTGAAATGCCCCGAGAGCAAACAGCGAATCTGCCAAAAGCAAACTGCATTTCTCTCTCTCTCTCTCTCTCTCTCTCGCGCTCGCTTGCTTGATTGATGTGCGATGATTTACACACGTGTGTTTATGGCTTTGAATTTCGTTATATGCAAAACGCTTTGATTGTTTTTAGTGCGTTGGAGTGGATTTTATTGCACAAAGAGCCACTCGACGGTTCGCACAAATGATTTATCCGTGTAGCGCTTCGAAAGATGTAAAAATAGATTTGCGCTAATCTCACGCGCTCCGGAAGCTTGATGGCACTCAAGGCACTCGATATTGTTTCGCAGTAGAAAAAAATATACTTCGGCGAGGGTAGGCGGTGAGATGCGCATCTGGATTGACAGTGCCGGATGCGATTGCCAGTCGAATTTCCCGCGCTTTGATCGTATCGATCTTTTTTAGCCTTCGCAGTAGCGTGGCCTGCGGAGGCACTTTGCGCGCGCGAAGACGCGACTGGAAATCCACTTTCGCGTCGTCTCTTCCTGCGCCGATGGAGATCGCTGACGATGCGTCGCGTGAGGGGCTTGCGTGAACGACTGATCGCTTTCGCAAGCTGCACTTTCATTCTTGATTTTTCCCAATCCTCTATACATTTTCCAAGGAGATTTCAGATCGCTAAATGTTAACCATAGTTGCTTGGAATAATGCTGACTCCAAAGTATTTCAAAGCTTATAGGAATTCTGAGTGGGAAATAAAGTATTTTTCGAAAAGTAGATAGTTGAAGGAAATGAGATTCCAAAACGAGCAAGGAGACGTCGAAAAATATTACAGCTCTTCTGAAAAATGAGATTTGCGAAACTCGATAAAGTTACGACGCGCACCTTTTACAGCTACTAGTCAGCTGCTCGAAGACTTTAGCGAGACGAATTCGACAAGTGAGAGCCGTTCAAAACAAGGATAAGAAAGGAAATTACGCCTTGATAGAATATATACAGTGCCTCGCTAAACTTGAGAGAAAACTTGTCAAAACTAAAATTAGGAACGATTTGGTCAAATTTTAACTTTCATCAAGCGCAACTGACAGCTGTTAGAAAGTAAGTGCGTTTATAATGCAGTTTTGCGTGTTTCGAGATTTTTAATATTCGATAACTTTTTTATTCATGCAATATTATTCGTTTCCAATTAAATCGAATCACGGCTATGTTTATATAATGTCTATAGCAACTAGATTATTCACTAGTGAATTTGTATTTTTGTAAAAGTGTATTTTATTTTTACGATTTTGCAGATCATGTATTGTTTAACATTACGTTTGAGTGTGGGTATACCGAAATTTTATAAAATAAGACGAAATTTTCATTAAATCAGATACGAATAAGATATCAAGAAAATTGTTATTCTCAGCTAAGTAAAAATGATAGACTAAAAATTGAACGTGTCAGAAACAAGACATACGTAATCTATATCTAGTGCAATATTTTGAAAAATTGATTTCGCGACGTTCTATCGAAAGCTAAAGATATCTCAGCTTCCAAATAAAATGCACATCGTGTCGTTCGATGCGTCTTTTCATCGCGAGAATATTCAACGAACCTCTATTTTTTCGCACTCAACATTTTCCAATCGTAACAAATTTAGGAAGCATTAAAAGTGCACGCCGGATCAGAGAGAAAAAATGAAAGGGTAATTCCTCATTAAGCAAGACCAGTAGCGTAATTAGCGCCTGTTCAGAAGTCGCCACGAAAGAAAACTGGAATGGAAGTTAAGAGGTCCGAAGAGGAATAAAAAAAGAGGGAGAGAAAAACTTTCTTTTCCGCGACTGATTTCGTTAGCAACTTGGGTTTTTAGGTCAATTGTCATCGCGTTTGCATAAACTTTGTAAAAGACGAGGTTTTCGATGTTTACCGGACCTATTTCTTTATTTTTATTGTTAAGATTGATGTTGTCTGATAAAAACGAGACGCTTGTCAATTTAAAAATGTGAAGTGTACGCTCTCAAAAAATAAACTATTTTTTGTTACATCTCTGAAAAAGAAGCTTTTGGGCTTATTTTTTATTCTTAACTTTTAAGTGCAGATTCGTGAAACTTTTACGCTATCTTGATAGCATTAAGTTTTCTCGCTTCAAGCTCTCACAGTTCGTATTATTTGGGTAGTGTTTGTTATAAACTGAATCATTATTTTCACTGGAAAACGTTCTAGTTCAAACAATGAAATTAACAAATAAAAAACGCAGAAATTAAATTACAAATGCAAGCACAAAAGTGCGGCGAATCCGTTTGACCAATTTCTGTAAGTTTTGCTCAAAGGCGCCCGAATTCGGTTCGCAGCCGAGAATCTCGTCTAAGAAGGCGATTTTTGGCAACCACTCCTTCTTTCACCTTTTGACGTTTGTGAGGGTTGAAGAGTAGTTCTCTTGCTTTTTGATGCTGCGCCATTCCGGTGAAAAGCGAAAATAAGAGAGAGAGAGAGAGAGAGAGAGAGAGAGAGAGAGAGAGAGAGAGAGAGAGAGAGAGAGAGAGAGAGAGAGAGAGAGAGAGAGAGAGAGAGAGAGAGAGAGAATATGAAATGAATGTTCTAAAGGGCCAAGTGGAGAAATAAAGGAATATTTGGCCACTGTGGAACACCGAATCAAGGCTTGTTGATATTCCAAAGAGCCTTAAAAAATGAAGTGAAATATTTGTCAAAATTAAATCTATCGCTTTTATTCGACAAAGTATCGCATTCCGATGCAAATGCCATGGTAAAAGCAGCTTTTAGCGACTTTTATAAAGAAATCTTTTCGAGCTATCGAAAGGAAAAAAATCTTACCACTCCGCGGTTTTATTTACAAAACAAGCGACACTATTGTAGAGGAAAATTGTCAGCACGAATCCGCGAGAAGCAATTGTCAGGAGAAAAGTAAATACTGGCAAAGCCGTCACTTTAAGTAACGTATTTTCTCCGCCGATTTACTCTTTACATTTTGCACTTAGGTGCATTACGTTTTAACATTAATTTTCCATGGACTGTGAGGAATAAAGTTTCAAATAGATTTCGAGACAAGAGTAAAAAGAATAAAATAGTACATTTAAATACTGGCGCAAGAAAGTAATTTTAGCCTCGTGTAGACGTTAGCACCCGAGTGAAGCGGAGGTGAAGAGACTGTAGGAAGATGAAATCACTTTCATGCACATGTATCTAACTTTATTTTTCGATACGACGTATGTGGGACGAGATTTTAAGTATCTCGAATATGCGTAAAATCGAATGCCCCTGCACGCAGGTTCCTAAAGTTGATCTTATCACACGCTAACCTACATCTTTTGTTTTGTTAATACTTTTTAACGCGACTATTAAAAATAAATATGTTATCTTGAATATCTTTACAATAATGTCATTTATTCGCTTGTTTCAGGTGGGTACACAAAAATTCAGTGAAAAATATACATCTTACAGTTCTCAAAATATTGTAAGTAAGAACAAATTAATTTCATTATATATGCTCACACTATAAAAACAATACATTACTTCTGTGCATATAAGTAGTCGGGTTCTTATTGAAAAAGGTAAAATGAACAAGTTCACACTTTTGATGACATCAATTAATCAGTTAAGGATCAGTTAGGCGTTTCTTCAATAACTACAACATCGTCCTCAATAATAATTAATTTTTCAAATAATGCCGTGGAAACTTGAATTTTAAGCCAAGAAGTAGTCATTTCATTTATTAATTATTAAATTTATTGCCAAAGAAACGTGGGTATACGACTAAAAAACTCACTATACTATTTAGTGACATAATCTAGTGTTTTATAGTTAAATGATACACTAAAAATTATTTGATTTATTTATTTATAGGAAGTGGAAAAAAGTTTATCTAAGATGTTTCTGTAATTATTATTGTTACTTGTAATGACCGCCAAAAAGATAACACTATTTGATTATAAATACATACTATGGAATTAATATTACAAATGTTTTCATCGATAGACGATCATTTTTTCACAGTACATTTGTTTCTATTACTTAAATTATTATTAAATATTTTACCATAAATAATTTTATTCGTTAAACATAGCTTTACTAATAAGGCGATTCAATAGAAAACTAAGGTGTTGCACAAACGGGTTGATTTACTTCGGAAGCGAAAAACAGGACTGTATGATACAACTGATTCCTTAAAATTATAATCTCTATAAATCTACAAATAGAAAAATGGAAGGATCGTGCCCATAGCGACGATAATACCATCATTTTGATAAAATATTTCATACTTTTATATCACTTATT